AGGAATAAAATACACAACACAAAAAAAAACAAACAAACAAACAAACAAAGAATGCATTGACTATAGGAAAAAAAAAGCAACAGCAACAGCAAAGAGGCGTTTTTTTCAAATTCGAACTATTTGCAAGGGGTACTCCAGAATTAAGCAGAGAAACGTCGTATCAATCAATGATACCTCAATGCTATCAGGTAGTCGATAACATGTAACTAACAAACCACTATTAAACCCTCAGTCATATATATATATATATATATATATATATATATATATATCGAACATCAATCTAATTAAAAAAGCAGTCCTTTTTTTGGCTATCAACGGTAACCGGTTCATAAATAGTTCATAAACCGAAAAAAATAGCAGTTAAAAAATTCAACGATTATTTGACTTTCAAATAACTGCTGACTTCAAAGGAAATACAGTAACAAAAGATGGTAAAGACTGCTAAATAAAGAGGTTATATGCAACAAATAACAACAAAACACTGCTCAAATTTAATTTCAAAAGACAAAAAAAGCAAGAAGAATCAAACAGCTTATTGAAGTTGGTTACACCTTGAAAAAAATTTAAGAAAAAAAAAACCTCTTAGTTTCGCAGCTCAAATCTTTTCATTGATTACACCGTAACTCTCTACCGGTTTCCTTTCTGTTGCCATTATCCCTTCCTTTCTTCATTCTCTACTCTTAACTCCTCTCTGTCACTTTTTTCGTTCCATTTTCCTCTTTTTAGCTTTCAAAAAATAGCACTATGGAACAAAGTGCTTGAAAAAAAAAAGCTTTCCAATAAATGTATCAAAAATAGTATGTATTTAGTTTCTAAAGATGCATTAGAGCATAATAAATGTCCAAAAATAACAAAAAAAAAATTCTGAAATAATGGAAGAAGAAAACCAGCACCAAAAACTACCTTATATCAAATATATATATATATATATATATATATATATATATATATGCGTATATAGATGAGCATATAATTTATTCAGTACAATCAGTGTGGCGTACTTTAATGCAAAACCGCATACACGCGGTTATTGTTGTTGCTATTGCTATCGCTGCTGCTGCCGCTGCTATCAGTGTTCTTAGCATGTTGTTGCTGCTATTTTTTTTCTTCCACTCCCCAAACGAACAAATATGAACGAGTTGAGTTGTCTAAATGATGGAAGGATGGATAGATGTACGAATGAACAAATGAAACGAATCGATAAGCGAAAAGGATGGACGGATGGATGAGCTGTAAGGAAAGACGGATGGTTTTTAGTGGTCAAACGAAGGAACAAAAGAAATCAACAACACCGTTATATGTTTGTACTGTGTCAAAACTTAGCACTTATTCGCTATAATCATCAGCTCTT